TATAAGAGGATAAAGCCTCCACATGAAAAATAAACAATTATCTAAAAAAAAGTTGATCAATTTTTTTATCCGACCCTGACACTTGACATGAGACCCAATCCTGACCTCTCAACTCAAAATCTGAGAAAATTGAAAAACATTTTCTTTTCAAATCAAACACACCCAAGTTTCTTAAGTTCGTTAAATGGAGTACGTTTGATATAATTAGGAAATTCGACCTAGAAATAGACAATGATTATTGATTGGGAAAATTATGCGAATAAGTAAATTTATACTAGTTAATTAACTAACATAGCTATAGTTTGAATTAATTACCACTCACAACCTCTTTCTAGTTATAATTGTGTGTGCCTCTCTCCTCTCTGTCGCCTCTCTCTTCTCTTATACATATACAAATACAATTATATGACAGATGTACAAATACAAGTCACTTCTCTTCGTGCCCTCTCTCACTCATCTCTCTCCACTCTCTGTCCTCTCTCGTTCGTCTCTTTCCACTCTCTACCCTCTCTCGCTCGTCTCTTTCCACTCTCTACCCTCTCTCGCTCATCTCTCTCCACTCTTTATCCTCTCTCGCTCACCTTTATCCACTCTATCCTTTCTCACTCGCTTCTCTCCTCTCTCTCCTATTCTCGCCATATATATAAATGCATATGTAATTATCTGACATATATATATATATATATATATATACTAGAAAGGCATGGCCCGTGCCAGCACGGGCCCAATACGTTCATTTGTGTATCTTTGAACTTTATTTAGTTCTTAATGCTGAAAAATAACTTTGAGTTTTGATTTGTCTACTGTGTCAATATATTCATCTACACTTGTATCAAAAACAATTCTAGTTGTCATTACATAATACATAACATATATAAAATAAATTTTATAATCATGGTAGTTTCAGTTAAATGAAGAGGAGCTCAAAAACTAAATAAATCTTCAATAGTTGATGCAAAGAAAAATTCAACCCATCCATTCAAAAGTCCTCCCTGCATGACTGTCACAAGCTAAGATTTTGACCAACAACCTGAAGCAAAATTAAACAAAATGTTTCATCAAATATAAAGTGCAAATGCATTCACAGAAATCAGAATCATAGGTCCATTTTTGTAAGTACCTTTAGCAACTTGCTTGTGAAATTATTAGAATTGAAAATGTCAACAACAAATAAAAAACATAAAATATGATTTACACTTGATTCTCTTCTACAGAGACTTCACCATTCATTATTTATTTATAATAGAAGGAACTTTAATTGCTTAAAAAATAGAAAATATGTAGTAAACTGATAAGTAACTGTTGAGTTGTAGGATGTAAGGAGAAACAACTTCTTCCCCTATTTATAACGCTTGTATTTTAAGAAGTCGTCAAACTCTTGAAATATCTTCAAGGAATCTTCCTACTTTATGGTGTCTTACATTTTGATCATACTGAAATTAATATCCTTATTTTGTCATATTTAATAAGTAAATGCTTCCGTGTCTGCGGTATGTCACTTTACCTACATTCTTTTTTTCGGCAATACACCACCTAGGCATCTACAATGAATTTCATTGTTGGTTATTTTCATTTATCATGAGATCAAATAGAGTCACTTGTCTCAACTTGTCCTTTCTGAGTTTCTGTCAGTAATATTAGGACTTGAAGAGACGGTCAAAATTGAATGAAAGAACTTCTCTTAGGAATAAAATGCATTAAAATCTCTATTTTCCTTTTCTTATTTATACTACTGCTTGAACTTAGAAAACATTATGAAGACATGATAACCTAGAAGACACGAAAATGACGCCTAATGTAGGAGCTAATGTTCACTGGTTCTTTGTTCTAACAGATACTTTAACATCTGATGAGTTCTTATTAAATAGAATGGCAACTAATATATTATAAAGAGATGCAGCAAACATCATGAAAACTAAATCATTCTTTAGCCTATTCCATAACACCTTCATATTTATAGAGAGCATAAATACAATCATATAGACAATTCCTTATGCAAGCTAGAAACAACTTACCATTAAACTCTTCGTAAAGCTTGTCCTGTTGGTACCCTTTGTCACGATCATTTTTTCATATTCTTCTTCATTTTTTTTTTCTCGAACGTTGAATCTATTCAGTGATAGCAAGCACAATATGATTTTTTTTAATTGTAAAATAACTAAATTTAACATAAGAAACCCATGGAAGAACTTAAAAGTAATACAAAATAGAGATTTTTCTGCTCAAGTTTCAATAATGCAAAGAAATTTTAACTTTTTGAAAGTTGGACTTCTTCAAACACATTATGCGTGTTAGGTATGTAAACATAAGATAAATGTAAAGAATCATACTTATAATACAAAACCTAGAAAGTATATAGTTAGATGATGTTATTATTGTGAGACTCCTATTATGTGCTATCATGTAATGGCGACGCTCATCTTACAAAGCAAAATTTCTACAGTTTCCTTGATCACAAGATAAGGCAAATGTATTGGTGAGATAATTAAAGAAACTAAGCTCACGAAATATCTTGTTTCACCTATAGGCTCTTCCATATATATTGTTGCTACATCTCCCCCCGCCTACTCCATGTAAACATAGTAAGATGACTTTAGATGCACTTACGAAAAATGAGTTAACAGATTAGAAGGTGAGATATATTATATTATCTGATAATGCAGACACCAAAATCAAGAATGAGAGATAATACTAAATGTAAGCTTCATATCATGAACATGGAGACGCCTTTCATGTCCGATTGAGTCTTGTTATTCATATGTGATAGGAAGCTAGCTGTAAACTTTAGGGTAGGACTTCCTATTACCACAGAAAACCAACAGTCCATTCATATGATCTCACACAACAACTTTTGAACACCTAGCAAAAAAAAAAATGAATAAAAGAATTAATTCTTACTTTTAGTGATTCCCCTCAAGATGCAATCATAATTTATGTGTGAAGAAGAGAAAATTGACTTTCACAAAATATCATCATAGAGCATGTAAATCACTTATCATTTCCGATTGAGTTCTATTTATTAATAGAAAACATGAAGCTACTTGTGAACTTGAGGGAAGAAGTTTCTAGTAACATAGAATACCAACAACATGGAAATACACTGTTTATCATCCATGACCTCTATCACCCTGAAACTAACGATTTGTATCAACTTTCAAATCAAGTAAAGAAAATATAGTTGTTGATAGGTTAAGTTCAGTGACAATTTGACAGTACTTTAATGCTTAACTTATTCATAACTTTCTCAAATAGTTTTCTTTGTATAATCACTGCATCGTTACTCATATTCACTTATGTACCACATTATCATCTTGATATAGTAATCAAATCTTAATAAAGCTACCATCTGACCTTTATAAGATGTCCAATAATGTTTCGATAGGATAATATAGTGGCTAAAGACCAAAAGTATCAGACGTTAAAGATAACAAATTTAAAGTTAGAAATTCAATCGAGTTCACGGGTTGTACACCTATACCATCTAAAGGTTATGTGATTAGCTCCATGAGAAAGGATGGAGTACTGATAGTCATAGTCTAGTAAAGAGAAGTGATGTCTTTTCTACACTTTCAAAATTGAAATGCTCCTATTACTTCTAGCTATTACTTCATTAGAATATTTATTTGTCAGGTCTGAAGAAATATATAGAACGTTGTTATTAGTTTCTTAGAAACTTTCTAAAAATCTAGAAAAGTTCATAACACGAAGAAATAAAAAAAAGAAGCAAGACATTCTTAAAAATTGAAAGACTTCTCCTATTAAAGAATGCCATTCTATTCCTTCAAATGTGCATTTTTCAATTCGAACAATGGGGTGCAAGCTTCATTAACCTTTTTATGTAGTGCAGAGTCTTCCCATAACTATGCGGGAAGATATTTGGTGGCCTTTTAGATTTCATGTGAATGTGTTCCGAATGATCTCATCGTACACACTATTTTATGTAGAATGATCATCTATATCTTCTATTGTAGGCGGACGTATTAATAATTTGACATTTTTTTGGAGTTGTGATGTCAACATTAGCTTTTGAGACATTTGATATTGTTCCATCTCTTCTACAGTTGACACATTCTAAAATGAACATCTCTATCACGCCTGCGACAACATCATCAACAACAATAACACAAAGATAATTAGTTACATAAAAGGCAGAATAGTTAAAGATCATTCTAAATGTGATGTGTTTATTCACCTCTCTTAAACTATCATTAGTCTTAATATTTGCAAAATTTAATTACTCAAGAAAAAAGTAAGTTGTTTTATCGAGTTTTTAACTTACTGTAACCACAAGTGCATCTCCAGCAACCAACACTATAATATCAGCACAAGAAACAACTCCAAGACATAGCTCCAACAAATCTCTTAACATCATCGATGAATGAGAAGCCTCTCAATGCCAAATTAGGATTGGCTTGATTTTCAATCCGATTTGCAGAACTTGAAATGAAATTAAGAAGCACAGTCCATCATTACCCTGCAAAGACCAAAATTTTAAATAGGAAAAAGCAAAATAGAATCAGGAACAAAGCAAATTCAGTAAGAATGTATGTGAAACATTTGGTCACGATACAGAGTTCAAGAAAATAAGGATGACTTTTAAATCGTATGATCTTGAAAATAAATATGTGTCTAATACATCAAAATTTTATCTAAAATTTGTGGTCTTAAACATGTCACGTAGAATGTCGGAATCTAAGAGTTGGTGAATAAAGAAAGAGATATTTTTTGTTTTGAAAAGACTAAAAAAGCGAGTAAAGACACATAAACTGAAATTGATGGAGTAATACTCACATTAACAAAGCAATCATGGAAATGCAGCATTTTGAGTATGATTTTTGCAGTATTTGGAGCCTTTGGAACTTGTTGCTGAACTAAGTCTTTAATAATATTATCAGCTTTTGGCGTAGAAATTAAGCTCAAATCAATTTAACCTATTAGACAACTGAACTTTTTGGTTCAAACATAATAGTTAGTGAGGTCAATAACATGTAGTAACTGAAATCAAAGAACAAAAGGCAAGAATAAGACTTCTGCTACAAAATTTCATTTTTCTTTTCAAAACTTACAACTTGAAAGGGAAAACAAGTTGATTTAGGCAAATTATCAAACACCCTTGGTACATTACAGCGCAAACCTGGCATAATATTGACATGCATGTAAAACTTTTCACCCCAACTTCATCATCAAAGAACCCATCCACCCTAAAATGTATTTTCAATATTTTTTACACAAATTTTATTACCGATTCAAGCAATTTCCATTTCAAACAAAGACTATCAACTTTCATTATCAATAAAAAGAGAAAATAAAAATACAATGGAAAAAAAAGAATGAAGAAACAGATACGGAGAAAAGAAGGTGAAAACACTTACCAGTTTCAATCTTGAGAGAGTCTGAGTTGTAGGAGACAAAGATGAAAATTCACAATTGAAAGAGCTTGCCTCAGATGAGTTTATGTTGTAAAGTACATAAATTTATTATCTTTCCACGTGTTGAAGAGCCAATCAGATTAGGCCAGAAAGGGCCCAATATGAGAGAGGTTCCACCGTACAATATACGATGGCTTTTGTACAATGATAATGATAAGATGTTGTGTTAGTCCTTTTCTTGTTCACTTATTAATACAATAAAAGATAATATATATATATATATATATATATAAATAAGCCACAATGCAACTATCATTGTAACTATCTTGTTAGTTTTCAATCAAAAACTAACAAGATTTTTAGTTACATATTTATTATTTGAGCTATTTATTACTCATTCCTTTTGAATTTGTTAATCTGATTTTGATCTGACACATAGTTTACGATAGTAAATTAGATTTTGAGAAAAAACATTAAGTGATACTTGAAGTTGTCTCAGAATTTCAAAAAAACACCTTAACTTTGCGTGCGTCTTATTACTCCACAAAACATTCAAAATCACAACAAATACACATTTTTTTCACAATATTTCCACTTTGGACAAAAATATCCTTCGAATGTGCAATTTCTTAAAAACAAAAAGTCGGACCCATTATTGATGTATTGAAGGATGCTTTGGTAATTTCCTACGATGAATTCGTTTTGTTTGTTTCTTTTAAATTTATTTTACTATACTAAATAATTGTATAAAATATTATGAATC